ACGATTAATAGAGTGGAATATAAATTTATCGATGAGTTTATATTCGAGAAAGATTATTATTAATATTCATTCATCTCGTGAATGAATATTATATAAATAAATAATTTGGTAATAAAGTTGAACGAATTTGTTCAATTTCTTTATTTGTTTTACAACGTTTTTGACGAATATTAAGAATAAATTGTTTCATATATATATATTTTTTTGTTTTATTTTGAGGGGGTTTCATGTTCAACGAAGTTCCGTAAAATATCGAAAGCGAATTTTTCGCTCGTATGCTTCGGGAATGTAAATAAGTTGAAATTTTTTATGGCGTATGGCGTACTATATATTTTTAGAACATGTAGCAAATATGGTACAGTGTACTGGAAAAACCATTCTAATGTTTAACTTCCGCATCAGAGCTATCGAGAATACATATATATATACGTATTCTATATATATACGTATTCTATATATATATATACGTATTTATAGATATATATTGGGGGTTTGAAAATTGAATTGACAGATTTCCACAGCATAAGGAGTGCTGTTAAATTTTATTTTCATCTTTCGAGTCGATGATCTTTCCTTGCATCTTACCGTTCGACCTCGTTTCTCTTATTTCTAATGGATGAAGCAAGTTTTAGTGAGAAAACACGACTGCGAAATAAACTATCTCGTATTTTAAAGTTTAATCCGAGAGAAACGAAAAATGTCAAAGGAAAAAAAGAAAAAAAAAATATTATATATATACATATATATATATGAAGAAAAAAATAGAAAATGTATATATAATTTCATGGTCAATATTTAGATCGTATCTAAATTAAAATATATTGTAATTAAAGGATGATAGAGAATTTTATTTAATTGAAACTGGTTATCAACGTAACGACTCGAAATAACAAAAATTAAAGTAAAAAGAGAGAAGATTGATATATTTTAAATATATAATAGATCTATATATATTTTTCAAATATACGTTCTGAGCAACGTCACGTGCATGACGTCCTGGTTTTGTTTAGAGAATCCGACATCATACGCGTATGTGACAGTTTTAAAATAGAAAAAACAAATTATGATATGTATAAATTTTTCTCCACAATTTTTTGTTCCTGAATAATTGTGATACAGTAAATATATGTTAAATTATAGTATTTTAGTAGTAAACGAAAAAATACTGTTGTGCTATACGTTCTTAACCACTTGTATTAATTTTAATATACGCTGGAATTAATTTCGTGTAATTAAAAAGATGGCACAAAATTTTCTTCAATAAGAAGGAAATTTTTTTTCCGATAAGTTTTTATTTCCTAAACAAGTTGTAGTATAGAGAGTAAATATGTTTTAAATTATAGTATTATAGTAATAAAAGAAAACTATTGTTGTGTTATACGTTTCTCTTGCCACGCGTGTATTTATTTTCCATATACAGGTTGGAAATAATTTCGTGTAATTAAAGATGGCGATTTTTTTTTATAAGAAAGTGGCGATCGACGAAAGGACTAAAGACGAATCGCACGATTAGCCAACGAGTGCTGAGCTTCGCACAGGAATTGGGTCGTACAAACATTTAATCTCCTTTTCCTTCTCGACGTGTTCGACCGTAATCCGATACGCCGTGCGTTTATTTGGAGCTTGCCGAGTTCTCAAAGAGAGAAAACAAAAATAGAAAGAAAGGGAAAAAAGTAAAAGAGATAAAAAAAAGAAAATAAATCGATAGATAAAAAGATAGATAGATAGGTAGATAGATAGATAGATTGAGAATTCAGGGAAAAATCTTTTCGGCCAATTCGAATCTTCGGTTCAATGGAAGGTGGTCGCATTGTCACGATAATTCCTTTCCCGTTCTCTTTTCTTCTTCTTCTTCCACTTCTTTTTCTATGTCTTTCATTTTCTCTTTCTCTTTCTCTCTCGTGGTGTAATTAACTCCTGTCAGATGCACGTTCGTTTCAAAGCAGTACGGAACGGGGAAGTTCCGGAAGGGAAGAGAATGGGTAAGAAAGGAAGCAATGAGTCGGGGGGCGATGGGGGGGAGTGTGCATCAAACTGATTTCTTTGTTACCCTCGTTGAAACATCTCGATCGATCTATCGAAAATAATTTCTATTCGATATTACTACTACTCCTCCTATCAAATTTATTCTCGTTTTTTTTTTTTTTTTTTAATCTGTCGTGTTTTTGTATATTAAAAATTCTTCTACTTTTTATATTTTAATTATTAATTGCTGAACCTGATTTATTTATTTGAACAAAAAGTTAGCACTCGTTGTATTATACAAAATTATTAAACAAATATTATACTTTGTAAAATAATCTATTCGTCCTAATTTGTATGAGATTTTTAATGTTTCTAAATACTTAACGAAACAAAAATTAATCTACGAAGTTTCGAATTTTAAAGCTCAAAAATTTTCGTTTATATATATATAACCCTATGGTATTAAAAAAATATATAATATATCTCATATAAAAATAAAAGAAACGTGTTGATAAAAAGAATAATATTAAATAGAATAGAATGAGTATTTATGGAAGAGCGGATCAGAAATATCTGAATTATTAATCGTCAACAAGTAAACATATCCTTCGTCAGAAACGTTGCAAAGTGAAAATCAATTCCACGTATCCTTCCTGCCTAGTGGTAATGGTCACCAACAGAGGATCAAAGCTACTCATGACGCAAGACACACACACATATACACATATATACATATACATACACATATATACATAGAAACAGAGATAGAGAGATATATACCAACGTTCAAGAGAGCTTAAAGGACAAAGGAAATGCAATTCTCTCGTGCAATTTTCCCCGCGGCGTCGAACGAAGCACACCGGTCTGAAATTGACCGCTTCAAAGAGAAGCAAAAGCCAACGGCCACCGTCCAACGACGAACTTATTTCCATGCGAGGAGGAAGAAGGATCAAATAAGAAGAAAGAGAGGTAGTAGAACACTTTACGCGTTTCTCATGGTTTGTTTGCTAACCTCCTTGCTTCCTTGTTTCCTTGCCTCCCGTGGTTTGCTTTTAAACTCCGCAAGGAATCGTAAAACACGATTGAGTGCATTAAAAAGGAATAAACAACCCTTTTACAAAAACATTCCATTTCAATTTCATTCCTATTGTATTATTTTTCAATATTCATACCATTAAATGAATTTTCATCAAGATATTCTCTTTCTAATATACTTTTTCTACCTAACAATATCCTGTATTTCTTATATTCCTGTATTATTGTTCATTCATTCGGTTACCCGGAAAGATATTACGCGGACAAAATAAACAAATGAGTATATAGTTTATATATAATATAATATATGATATTTTTTTTTTTCGAATATATAAAATATACAACAAATATTATTCTATTAATAAATCTGTCCGAGAGAACTTTTCGGTCTAGCAAGATATAATACTTTTATTAATGTTGTTTTCCTATGTAATACTAGCAAACAATTTTCTTACCCTATCTCTTTCTTTGGATAAAGAGAAGCTGAAGAACAGGAGCTTGTAGTCTAAACCGAACTGGAGTTTACTCTTGTGGCATAGTTTTTTGACGAGAGCCAACTTGACACTTGCAACATTAATGCAGAGAAATTACGTCCGGGTGAGGATGGATGCCCTCCTAGACGTACTTCTATACGAAAGACGTTGCTTTTTGCTATTCCCCTCCCCTTCTTCTCCCTCTCCCTCCCTCTCTCTCTCTCTCTCTCTCTCTCTCTCTCTCTCTCTCTCTCTCTCTTAAGCGAGTTCCCTTTCATCTTGCCAAGGTTCGTTGCATGTAATATATTCGCGGAAGGTGCTTTCCAACTCTCGCGATTTCTCGACCCTACACTTCTTTCTCATGAGAACTAACCTTTGGCTTGAATACCCCAGTAGACCAGTTGGATTATTTATTTACGTCTACTGCGAACGAACGTCTAGCTTTTTATTCTTTCTCTCTCCGTATTTTTCTTTGTTTCTTTGTTAATGGTGTGCACATTTACGCGCACTTAAATTCGCTTTATTTCAAGCGTGTGATTTAAAAGAATTTCTTTTTCTCTGTGTATACGTTTTAAGTGTTTTTCAAGTGTTATGTCAGTTTCATTATGTAATATTATGTATTATTTTAACGTGTGATAAGATTTTGTTTATTACTTCGTATTTATGTGATTAAATTGCAATTAACTTCAGTTGTATGATTTCTTTTTCTTTTTTTTTTGAAATTTTTATGACTGTTTACACGTGTACGTGTTAGAGTGTTCAGTTTGTTTTATTAGTTGACATTTTGTATCCCTATGGATATACGCGTGTACGTGCATACAAATTTTAGTTTCTTTCGTTGTACGATTTGAAGGAAATTTTTATAATTCTGTGTGTATACAAATTTCGAATTACTTCACATTTATTTTATTCTTTTTAATTGTTTAATTTATTTAATTTTCTTGAGACTAACACCACGCGTTTGTTTAATTTCATCTCAAAATTGTGAAATGTTATTTCTTATAGTTGCGAATAATAATTTGATTATTTTTTTTTTTTCAAATATAATAATAATTTATATATCCAATAAAATTTATAGCTCGAAGAAGGACTTGAATTTCTTTTCAAAAAGTTTGAATCGAAGAATCAGCAAAATTATTCTTCCTGAAGTTTTCCTAACAAGTGACTTTTTACGAGTTTGGGTTGTCAAGTCAATACTCAACCCCTATTAGTCGCCTTTTACGACAAGCAGAGGATACTGTGGATATATTCTATCCCCCTATCCACAAGGGGTTTGGATAACAATAATAATAGTAATAATTTCAATGATTTTTAAGAACAAATTTATGAAATTGTCATTTTAAATCATATTAAAACAAACGTGATGATTTTCCTTGATGATTAAATATATAAATAAATATTAAAAAGATCTAAATCTTAGTCAAACGTATTAAATATTAATTTCGACGTTAATCACAATTGTAATAAATATTTATTTCATTTAGAATTGTATTATTTTTTAAAATGTAAATGAAATGATTTACTTACTAAACCAGGATGAGTAAACATGCAAGGAAGTACAGCAGTACCGCCATTTTGTGCAAGGACATCTGTCACGAGTTCCCCACGTCTGATAACATCCTTCGTACCATCATCATCATCACTTTTTCCATTCCCCACCGTGGTGGAGGTGGTAGTGGTGGTAGTGGTGGTGGTGGTGGTGTTTATAGTATTTACTGCATCTAACAAACAAACCATGACACAATTTTTACATTTCTCAATTACACGGTTCATACAGTCCTTAAAAGTTAACATTTAATTCAAACCGTATTTAACTTTAAAATAGATTTTTTCGTTTCAAGGTTATATATTGAAACGTTTATGGTAGTAGGAAGTTAACAGGTTTGCTACAGGATTATATACACTAAGAGTTAAGTAGAGACTTGTTACATGGTCGAAATGAAAAAAAAACAAAAAGTACCAGGTAAACTCATTTCGAGCATTTCTCTCGAATGTTCTCCCGACTGTCGTCGTCTGAGGACAAAACGTGGAATGAAATGGTTTGTCAGAAAGAGAAAGAGAGAGAGAGAGAAAGAGAGAGAGAGAGAAAGAGAGAGAGAGAGAAAGAGAGAGAGAGAGAGAGAAAGAGACATAAACGTTCACCGCTAAAACTTTACTCCTGCGGTATATTGGTAAAGTTCGTCGGCTTGTTGTTTGGGTCGAAAACTTTCTCGAGTTTGGATTTATTTGCTTTGCCTTACAGCATTCGACATTTAAACTAAGCTTCCTACTTACTTTCTAACGATTTTCTTGTCTTTGCTATATTTTATATTGTCCCTAATCCCCCATCCCCTTCCACCCCTTCCTCTTCTTCCTTTACATCTTCTTCTTTCGTGGAATTTATTTTTAGTTAATTTTTTTATTCTATTAATTATTCGACGTACATCCAATTACTATCAAATTTGAAGTTTTATTCTAACAATTCCGGTCGAACGAGATGTGTGTGTGTGTGTGTGTGTACGTGCATGTGTGCACGTGTGCATATACGAGTATGTGAGTAGGTAAACGATTTAATGGATCTATAGATGCGTTTTGCCTTTTGGGATTTGCTATTCCAAAGTCGTCGATCAATGTGAGAGCCCATTAATTATACCTCGAGTTTCTTGGAAACTTCTAGGAAGTTTCTCGGGGAGTAATAGAGAGTTTATACTAGGCTAGAGAGATAACGATGCCCTCGACGCGAAACAGCTCTACACACACATATAACATATATGTAAATATTATAATCATTTTAAATAACTGTGTGTATTTACATGGGTTTTGATCGAAATTTATCTCTACGCGACGTGTATATTAATTTAATTTTAATTCATTCAATACAAATTGCAGATTAAAATCGTAAGGAAAAACAGCACTGGGAAAATATTTTCTACGTATTTTTGTGTGTTTTTTTTTTCGTGATTGGTTATTATTACAATAATTTTATGTATCAGATCAGTCCAAAAGTTTGTGCACACTTTTTGCGAAATTTGAAAATAGTGTAATGCGCACGAACTTTTGGACTGACCTGATAAATATTTTGTGTGTGTGTGTGTGTATTTGTATATTTGTATGATTAATTTATTGTAAATGTAACATTAATACCACGAGGAAATAATAATAAGGAAAAGAAAATTCTGAATGCGTATTTGTTGACCGGAAATAAGAAAGAAAAAAAAAAGATTGTTCTCCTCTTGTGATATTTTATACAAATGAACGATACGAGAGAATCCTTTTATATTATTACCGTTCCGTTTGAAAGATCTTTTTCTAGTGGATATATCGAGAATGAAATTACTAAGTCTTTCCTTTCCTTTACTTTGACAAGATCTTTGAGATTCGGATGAACGGATGAAAAAGAACTATGAAAATATGTGTCAAAGGAGTGAATAAAATATACATATAGACGAAAATCTTTTGAAATACAATCAATATGATACGAATTATGATAAAATAATTAATTGTAATTAGGGCGGGCGGAGCGTGGGGGGCGGGTAAGGAGAAAGAAGTAAAAAAAGAAAAAAGAAAAAAGAAAAAAAAAAGGAAAGATTATATAGACAAATTAATCGAATAAAATAATAAGATAAACAAGGATGGTAGTTAGTAGCAAACTAGGACTTCGGTAATTACACGAGCTATTCCTTTAACTATGCAAACGGAAGAGACGTTAGCCACAGTGGCGTTGGTGGCTAGCAGAATTTCAGATTCTGGGCCCCTTTCATGGCTGTGGTATACGTTGCTATACGTTTCCCTAAACCACCACAGTGTCTACTGGTAACGCGAGAAACTGCCATCTTGTTTGACGAGACTTTCCTTAAATTGCATTAGCTATTAAAGCTGGTACTTTAAAATTCTGGTTCTCTTAACATTTCCATCTTCCCTTTTCCTTTTCTCTCTCTCTGTTTATCTTTTTGCATCGTTGGTATGCCTAACTTGTGCATGCCGTTCTGGACAACATTTTCTATCTCACTCACTCACTCTCGCTCACTCATTCACTTACTCTCTTACACTGTTTAATTCAATCCCCCGATTCAGAGAAACGTTATCTCTCGATGTTGTTAGTAAGGTTGGGTAAGGTTGGGTGGGTGTGGATGCAGGGAGCGGGTGTGGTGAGTTAGTGGGAGGGAATTAACTCGGACTACCAACGGACTATATGCGCTATTTGGCTAAGACCCGACGAAACCCTTTCAAGACCCTTAGATGAAATCTTTTGCGAATTTTCTCCTAATTAAATCCCTTCAGTCTAACCCTTATTAAATCTCTTACCTACACGTTCTTTTTTTTTTTTCATCATCATCATCATTTTATTAATCTCTGAATATTAATGAGAATAAATATATTTCAATGGGAGGGGAAAATTTAATTCGTGTGTTTTTGCTTTATTTATAGAAAAACATTTAAATAACTTACGTCAGTCTATTAAAAAAAAAATATATATATATATATATATATATATATATATATACAAGCTTTGTAATACGATCCGCCGGGAATTCTATTATTTCGAAGAGGAATTTCATGATTCACCGATTGAAGTATCACCTAGNATACCCTTATGTTTATAAGGGTTGAGTCTCTTGAGATCTGATCTGAATTCTTATCATACAAGATATCTTTCTTTCTAAAGCTACGATGTAATTCCATTGGTTATCCCTATCCATACTTATATTTCTTTTTATATCTATATTCGCATTTTGATATCGTATAGGTTTCTATCATAAAAAATTCATAAACCAATTCGTTTGAAATCACATTCGTGTTAAATTGTATAGTTTTTATAATTTCTATAAAAAGTACATAGGTAATAAATATTCTTAAGGATAGTAGACAAAAATTGACACATTTTGCCTGAAAAATTAAAAAAAAAGCAAATTAAATTTTTTTTATTTATTATTTTAAATGAATAAAATAAAATTGTGAAATAATTGTAATTAAAATAAAAATAAAATTGTTAAACTTATAAAATAAAAGAGAAAATTAAATTGAAATAAAAACTATTTCGAATTTTAAATTAAATTAATATTTTCAATAAAGAGATATTGTTAATAATTTTTATTTTTAAATCTAATTTTATATATATACATATAAGATTAATGTTTTATTTTTCTATTCACATACACAGCTAATATTTTCTTGTCACTTTCTTCCATTAACGAAATACTTCATGGAAAAAGACCTCACTACCTTTTCTATCTTTATTTTTCTCTTACAAATCTTATCCGTAGATTTGCTCTATCTCGATCTGAAAGTCGATTAGAATGAAATTGGAAGAGAACAAGTCTCCAGATGCTTCCTTCGCGAAAACTTAGCTCGCTGCTTGGACGATGCCATTACGAAGGAAACGAGTGTCGCGAATCACCTTAATTATCTCTTAACTCATTCTACAGGGTACGCTTTGTTCGATTAAGGAAAGCGAGTGTCTCTATTTTAACCGCTCGTAAACTAACCTATTTTCTACTATGTCTTTTTAAACTTTCTATTTGAAATTTAAACTTTTAAATAAAAACAAATTTATTTATTTTTTTCACTCTTATTTATTTATAATATAACATTATTCATATTTTTCTTCTTACTCGGCTACAACATAAATCATTTTTTTCATTATTTTTTATTATTATTATTATTAGTATTATTCTTATATCTTATTTAAAACAATCCGATTATAAATAAAAATAATAATAATTTAAAAGGAGTATAAATTGATAATGAGTCCAATTTATTTCACGATGACTAAAATTAATAATGAAGCTTAAATTATTATATTTCACGAGGAATAAATAGATATATAATATAAGTTTAAATTATTTCTCAAAAGGACTTCATAATATATTAATTGAACTTTGTCATTTGGATTATTCTTGATCTTCGTTTAGAATAAAAATGATAGATTTAGAAATATAGTTTTGACATAAATCATAAACAACATATATTGTAAAGAATTTTCCTGTTGGCTAAGCTCCGAGGAGTTAAAACGAACACGATCAATGGTTGAAAGAGCTTTGACTAAAAGGGATAAAGGTAACTTTAGAAATATATCTCTATATAGAAGGGAAAGCTTTGACTCGCTATGTTACCATCAAATCGATCATCGAATATACACAACAAACATACAACAAACAGACATACTTCTTTATCTATACATATGATATAGAAATATACATACACATTAACATGCATACACTTACAAATATATTATGTATGCAGACGAATACATGGTAAAATTTTCTCAATAAATGCATATACATATGCACATATATTTACATATATATATATAGAAGGAATAATTGTATATGGTAATAGTTCGGTTCTCACATATACAAAACTCAAATCAATCGAGATCGATGCAATGTGGTGGTGATTCGTTTGACGGTTCATTCGAAAACCTAGAGGATATTGTATCGGTTTAGACCTGTTGGTTCGTTTAGTGATCCGTCGAATCATTGCGCGAAATTATCGTTTAGCTGTCACTGCCTAATCGTACTTTGCTCTCCCATTTCGAATGCTTTAATGTCAATTCGCAGTACATTTGTGGCTTCTCTCTGCCACTTGTTTGTTATATTATTATTGTCATTCTAATGACTTATATTTTTTTTATTTATAATCGATCTAAAGGTAAGTATATTTAAACTCGACAATATAAATGTTGTTTAAATCAATATTATGGAATAGAAATAATTAAATAAATAAATGTAAAATAATGTAA